CAGTCAATCATGCAATGATACTTCATCTTTAACAATCTTCAAGGATCATTTGATCTTGCAAGGCCAAGCCCTCTCACCGGTGCCCCAACCAACGCTCCTGCAGAGGCACCACATCCAGCTCGATGGCCGCGGCCCACACCAGCCGTTGTTGCGGAGTGAGCCAAGCCCAGCTGAGCACCTCCCGCGCCAGGCAGCGCAAACGCTCCATGAAGGCCGCGTCGCGGTCTTCCGGGCCTCAAGACAAGGCCACCACATTGAGGGGAAAAAGGATGCAGCGAGGTGCCAAAATTGGCATTGCGACGACTTGGTGGAGATCTAGCTGAACTGTGGTGGCTAGCTAAACAAAGGAGGGAAGTGGTGCTAAGTGCTAAGGTGCCGAGGGAACTAGATCAAGTTGGTCCTGCATCAACTTGCGCAACTTAATTTCTTGAACCATCATAGCACCACCGATGCCCACGGAAGGACCAGCACAATGCTTATCACAAAGGCTCTCGCTCCGCCTACAGTACTGCTTGCAAGAGTCTTGCTGCAACAGCCTTTGCCGTGGCAGCATGTGGCACCAGCGAACCGCCCGTCCTCTGGCAGCTCAACTGGGAACCCAGCTGAAGAATCCCGGCTGTTCAGATGGAACTTATGTGTTCAAAAAGGCTCACTGGATGCAGCTCAGCTGGAAATACTTAGATACAGTAGTTTGCACCAAATCTTCTTCAAGTTTCCTTGAATGTCCAAAGCTTCCAGTCCTTCTCAGCCTCAGGAGCGCTCCAGGACCAAGACCCATCTGATCCATCTTCCAACCCACGAAGCCGACCTCCATCCTCTCAGCCATCAGCCGCATCGCGCCCAAGATGCCGACCAGGCCGAGAAGTCGGCTGCCACAGCGTCCCCGCCTTCGCTGTGCCATCAGGGCCCATCAACGAGGTGCTTCTTAATCCGCCCCACAGGAGTTGTGAGAACTCCCAAAGGCTCGGCAGCAGCACTCTGCGCTCGGGCCGGTGGCTACAAACAAAAGGAAACAGTTGGCCTACACCGACCTACGACACTCACAAATGCAGTGTAGATAAATTGGACCACGTGCTGAAGAATTTGAACAACAAATCTTCCTGTCACACAAATCAATGATCGCTCAAGTTGCAGAAAGCAGGCTTGAAAACTGCAACTCTCTGCGCGTTGAAAATGGTTTCCTGTTTGCCCATCTCTTATCAGATCAAAGCGCTGTCCCAAATGGCTCCCTCTGAGGCAGCGGCTGCATCAGCTCAGTGGCTGGCCGCGGTCGAAGCAGTTCCGCCATGGAGGATGGCCTGAGTGGAGCAGCGCCGGCTGAGCTTCCCGTGAAAGGAGCACCGGTTCCGCCATACAAAAGTTGTGGAGGGCAGTGCAGCCTATTCTAGTCTGCTGGATGGGTCTAGTAAATGATGGTCTGAGGACTCATCTTTTTGATTTAATTAAGGACATTCATATAAGTA